ATGCTAGAGGTCAGAGGAGAATGGGCCGACTGATTCAACCTGATAGAAGAGCAACTTTGACTGAAATAACCACTCGTTACAACCGAGGTATGCAGCAAAGCATTTGTGAAGCCACAACACGCACAACCTTGAGGCGGATGGGCTACAACAGCAGAAGACCCCACCGGGTACCACTCATCTCCACTACAAATAGGAAAAAGAGGCTACAATTTGCAAGAGCTCACCAAAATTGGACAGTTGAAGACTGGAAAAATGTTGCCTGGTCTGATGAGTCTCGATTTCTGTTGAGACATTCAGATGGTAGAGTCAGAATTTGGCGTAAACAGAATGAGAACATGGATCCATCATGCCTTGTTACCACTGTGCAGGCTGGTGGTGGTGGTGTAATGGTGTGGGGGATGTTTTCTTGGCACACTTTAGGCCCCTTGGGCATCGTTTAAATGCCACGGCCTACCTGAGCATTGTTTCTGACCACGTCCATCCCTTTATGGCCACCATGTACCCATCCTCTGATGGCTACTTCCAGCAGGATAATGCACCATGTCACAAAGCTCGAATCATTTCAAATTGGTTTCTTGAACATGACAATGAGTTCACTGTACTAAAATGGCCCCCACAGTCACCAGATCTCAACCCAATAGAGCATCTTTGGGATGTGGTGGAACGGGAGCTTCGTGCCCTGGATGGGCATCCCACAAATCTCCATCAACTGCAAGATGCTATCCTATCAATATGGGCCAACATTTCTAAAGAATGCTTTCAGCACCTTGTTGAATCAATGCCACATAGAATTAAGGCAGTTCTGAAGGCGAAAGGGGGTCAAACACAGTATTAGTATGGTGTTCCTAATAATCCTTTAGGTGAGTGTATCTTTTGTGTTCAGCAGAAGAAAGAAATTCATGGTGCTCAACGTTTACACTTTTGGGGAAGATACACCCATGAATGTCATACAAAATAGTAGTCAATGAACCAAAAAAACTGGATTAAGAACATGTTTTTTTTTTTAAATAAAATAAAAAACTTGCACACTTAAGTTTCTATACAGTAATCAAGCATGTAAACTCACATGTGGTACTTGTTAGCAATTCAATTTCGGCAGTATGTGCATCTCCTCAAATAGCTAATGTCGCTATGTTGCTGTGGTTGCTAAAAAGGCTAATGATAATTTTTACTCCAAAATTTAAAACTACTAGCTTATGTGAAAAACCCATGAGAAATTCAAGAGGGAACCTGGCGAGAAAATCAAATACTGTTGCTAAGAAACGCATTTTGCTACTGTTAAAAAAGTATATGTCTGAGTTCGGCACAGCACATAGCATGCTACTCTTACTATTTTCACCATATATTTCTAGTACTATGAATATGTAGTATGAATGAAACCCAGACATGTACAGTTGTGGTCAGAATTATTGGCACCCCTGGTAAATATGATCAAAGATGGCTGTAAAAATAAATCTGCATTGTTTATCCTTTTGATCTTTCATTCAAAATAATTGCAAAACTCTAACCTTTCAGTAAGTAAATGAGGGGGGGGGGGGGGTCACATTGTGAAATAAATGCTTTTCTCCAAAACACTTTGGCCATAATTATTGGCATCCTTGTATTAATTATTGCCTTTTTGCAACCTCGTTTTGGCAAGATAACAGCTCTGAGTTTTCTCCTATGCCTGATGAGTTTGGAGAACACCTGATGAGAGATCAGAGATCATTCCTCCATACAGAATCTCTCCAGATCCTTCAGATTCCCAGATCCATGTTCCTGCTTCTTCTCTTCAGTTCAACACACTCATCTTCTATAGGGTTCAGGTCAGGGACTGGGATGGTCATCGCTGAAGTTTGTTTTGGATCGTTCTCCTGATGGAAGATCCAACCATGGCCCATTATAAGATAATTTCTACCAGAGGCCATCAGGTTTTGATTTTTTATCCGTTGGTATTTGCTATAATCCATGAAACCATGTATCTGAACAAGATGTCCAGGACCTCCAGCAGAAAAATAGGCCCACAGCATTAAAGATCCAGCGGTATATTTAACCGTGGACATGGGGTACTTTTTATCCCTGTAGCACCAAAGCCCTCTGGTGGGTTTGCTGCCAAAAAGCTCTTTTTTTAGTTTCATCTGAGCAGAACCTCATCCCATTTGAAGTTCCAGTCGTGTCTGACAACTGAATATGCTGGAGTTTTAATTTTGGAGGAGCGAGGAGGATTTTTCTTGAAACCCTCCCAAACAACATGTGGGGATATAGGGTGTTGGTTGATTTTTTAAAGGCTTTCTGACCCCAAGGCTCAACTAGTCTCTGCAATTCTCCATCTTGGATCCTTGAGTCTTTGGCCACTCAAACTTTCATCCTCACCGTCCATTAAGGCAATATAGACACACGTCCTCTTCCTGGCTGATTCGTACCATCTTTAATTGATTGGAACTTCTTAATTATTGCCCTGAAGGAAATGGGGATTTTCAGTTCTTTAGCTATTTTCTATAGCCACTTTCTATTTTGTGAAGCTCAACAATCTTTTGCTGCACATCAGAACTATATTCTTTGGTTTTACTCATTGTGTTGGATGATTAAGGGAATTTGGCCTTTGTGTTTCCTCATATTTAAACTCCTGTGAAACAAGAAGTCATAGCTGGACAATTTCAAGTTTAGTCACCCTGGTGTGATAAAAAAGGTAAATATTAATGGGAATATACTTCAGAGATATTTTACTCATAAAAAAATTCTAGGGGTGCCAATAATTGTGGCCAATGTGTTTTGGAGAAAAACATTTATTATTTCATAATGTGACAGTGGACAATGTGACAGTGGACTTTTGGACTGTGGCGTCTACTATTTCTGTCAACAAAAAACTGTTAAACTGGGGTTAAACTGTTGGCATTCATCTGTCTTGTTTACAATGAGACACCTAAACATTGTTGTGGTTATCGCTATACACTTTTAAGAGTGGCTGGATTCACTTCATAAAATGTGGTTGTCATTCCCAAACCTTTGCAGTGTGTAGGCCTACTTCACATATCCTTTGAAAAGCTGAGGTAACTTTTGGAACAGAGTTACAGAGTGGACCTACAATCTTCAGAAAACATGAAATAATGGTTTATCCTCCAGATATGTCTAGACTGTGCTTATGTAAGACTGTTATCATAGTTATCATCAGAGGTGGGTAGTAACGAAGTACATTTACTTCGTTACATTTACTTGAGTATTTTTTTGGAAAATTTGTACTTTTAAGAGTATATTTAATTGTGGGTACTTTTACTTTAACTCGAGTAGATTTCTAATGAAAAAACTGTACTTTTACTTCGTTACGTTTGGCGACGTTCCTCTCGTTACTTTATTTTAATGCAATATGTTGTTAAAAGCGTAGTTTATTCTAAGCGCGCGCTCTCTCTTTTTTCTGGGCATGAGCGATGCTCAATTCACAAATGAATCACTCTTTTGAGTCGATTCTGTTCAAAGACTTCATCAAACAAGTTGGGCAGATCTGTCTAAATCGGTTCGCGAATCAGTTTGAATGATCTGTTCAGTTTCCTGCACGCACTGAATCGTCTCGGAGTCGTAACAGGAAGATTTAAGAACATCAAGAACATTGTGTGGCGGTCCATAGTCTACAGTACAGTCTAGAAAGTAAATCTGCAAATGTATGGAATTATTTTTGTGCCGATAATAATGAACGTAACTTTTCAAGAAACTAATGAAAATATAAATTGAAATTGAATAAAATATCTTTGAAACTGAAAAAGAATGAATCGCAAGCAATTTTTTTTACTTTGTTTTTAATACACTGCATGTTTTGCTAACTATTCCTCATATTTCTTTTACTGATCTAAACTTACAAATGCGCTTCAAGAGTTTTCATTTACGCTTCTTAAGTTTTCATTTACGCTTCTGAAGTTTTCGTTTACGCTCCCTGAGTTTTCGTTCGCTGTTCTGACACAATTCTCTCGAGGGGGCGGGGCTAGAGCAGTGTGTTCTCATTGGCTACTGAGTTTTTGATTGACAGCTTCTTGACCTGGAAGTGAAGACGTCAGTGTTGTGTTTACTTGTGTGGATGTGAGAGTCTGTAAGCGCAGCTTTCTATTTAATTTTAGTGATATTAAGTTATGCTTGTTTTTGAATTTTATCTGTATTTACCTGCTGCTGCTACTACTTTGTCAACAGAAACTTTTAGGAGCGCAAGAGATCTCTTCAGTCTATTCAGGTGTAATTGTACATCAAAGTTACTTAAAATATTGTGTTCAATGTTTTAGGAGAATATTTGTTTATTCCTGATGTTTCTTTTGCATGTTAGGCTCTGATTAGGTTGTGCTATTACAATTTAAAGAGAATAGCCTACTAGTATACGTGTGTGATATATTCAGCAGTCAAGAAAGTTTCACTTCAACCAGGTAATCAAGGTTGGCAACCATGGCCATCAAATTTCTCATTGTTACCATATGCATTTACACCATCAAAATGTATGATCACTTAAATAAGAGGAATTTAAACTATGACAATTACAATCGTGGCTTGCTGTCAGATGATACAGACCTCTAAGGGCATTTCATTACATATTTCACACAAAGAATATTTTTGTTGCCATTTTTTTAATCATGCTGATAATTTTATTTATTTCATTTAGTTAATATTATCTTCTATCATTTAAAATTGTAAATATATTTGAACAATCATCAACAGGTTCAATTATGACTTATAAAATCAGTTAAATTAATTTAAATAAAAAATCAAATAAATTTACATTCGTTATTGTCACTACAGCATATACACAAGTATCAAAGTGAAAGTCTTGGATGCGATTATGTTGTGACAGGAAAGACCAGAAGCCACAAAACATTAACTGCATACTATACATGTAATGCACAGTATTCTCATAATATACATACAAAATGCATCATTACAAAGATTTTTATCTCTGTGAGTCCATATAAGACAAGTGGATTGTAACCCATGTATGACAGTTGGTCAGAAGTGATTTTTAATAGTTAAAACAGTTTACATTATTAGTATTTTTCTTATCCTATTGTTTCACTTCAGAAGGCATTGATTCATCCACTGAGGTCGCATGGACATCACGGTCACTGTGTGTGGTTTTTAAAGCATCTTTAGGACTCGCAGAGATGGATTACTTTCCTTAAAATCTTAATTCGTATTTATCTGTAGAAAGAAAGTAAAATGCATCTGGGACAGCATGAGGGTGAGTAAAATAAGTGAGAATTTTATTTTTGGGTGAACTATCCCATTCATATGCTGTTGGTATGCTAATCCATGATCAGCATAGACTAATAAGAATAAACTGCAACCTCTTGTGTACTTGTAAACTGTGTTTGTTTTAATCTAGAGCTCCAAAGAAATTAAAATATTTGCTATTTTATAATATTAAAATAAAATACATCAGGTGTCTGAAGATCAGGATCCCAGTCATTCAAAGCTGATATGTCTGAACAAAGTAACATTATTGTCTGATGGAGACAGTTGATCTCTGGTATTATCACTCCATCCTCTGTGTCAGCATCAGAATTTTGTTTATGGAAAAGTTGCTCAACTCCCTGGAAAGTGAGAAAGGAAATGTATTATAATCTAACAATACAAACTGCTTTGAACATCCACATGCAGTAACAAGTTGCAGACTTAAAATAATTATTTCAAACAAATTATATAAATGTTTTAAGGGATTTTACAGTACTAAATATTTACCCCCTGAGTCATGCACCATTTATCATCTGTAATACTGTTGTGTAACCAGTAGATGGCTGTATAGCCCTATAAACATTTATCCATGGCTGTGTATTCCCTAGTTGCTGGATGTTTTCAGTCATAATTACTTGCATGTATTAGGTTTTGCATTTGGACATATATTTATTATTAAAGACTATAATAAAATTAAAATTAAAAATTAAAAATTTTACATTTTTCTCCGAACTGTTTTTTTTTTTTTTTTTGCATTATTATTGCTCAAATATGGACACAGAAAAAGCATTTTGTTGCATTTTGCAGAATAAATATTGCGCCCAGGGTAATACTTCAAAATAATTGAGTGTTTACATATTATGAATAGAGACGTGGAATGTGGTCAAGTCCTGTCTCTACTCTTTTAAAAACTCTGCATCGCAAATTAATCAGCAATTGGCTTTACATTGCTAAAGTTGAATCGGGCAGTGATTGACAGCGCTCTGGTCCAATGGCATCGGTCATTGTCTGATACAGTACTTTTTGTACTGTAGGCTACAGTACAGATACTGTACAGTACTCTAGCCCAATGTTGTTTGGGGTGGCAGGGGGGAAATATGAATGTAACCTTATGTAACGTTAGATAAACAAGTCATGTAATGATTGGGTTAACTTACCAATTAAATCAAGACGACACTGCTGTATAATGTTATGGGCTCTCACTGAGCTCTAATATGCCTCTCCACCTGAAAAAGCAAGTACTGTATTATAAATAGTATTAGTTTAGTATTAATTAATAAAATAAAAAATTTTTAAAATCTGACTTACCACGAGTAGGCTATCCAGTATTCTGATATCGACGATGACAAATTATATCATTTGTCTGTACTATTCCTTCTATAAGAAATCATCTCAACAATATAGTGTAGCAGTAAATAAATACAGATATAAACTTAATATCACCTAAATGAAATAGAAAGCTGCGCTTACAGACGCTCACATCCACACATGTAAACACAACACTGACGTCTTCACTTCCAGGTCAAGAAAGCTGTCAATCAAAAACTCAATAACCAATGAGAACACACTGCTACTAGCCCCGCCCCCACGAGAGAATTGTGTCAGAACAGCGAACGAAAACTCAGGGAGCGTAAACGAAAACTTCAGAAGCGTAAACGAAAACTTCAGAAGCAAACGAAAACTTAAGAAGCGTAAATGAAAACTCTTGAAGCGCATTTGTAAGTTTAGATCAGTAAAAGAAATATGAGGAATAGTTAGCAAAACATGCAGTGTATTAAAAACAAAGTAAAAAAAAATTGCCTGCGATTCATTCTTTTTCAGTTTCAAAGATATTTTATTCAGTTTCAATTTATATTTTCATTGATTTCTTGAAAAGTTACGTTCATTTTTATTGGCACAAAAATAATTCCATACAAATGCATCATATTTTTTGCCAGCGATGAAGATCTTTATTAGTTGAACTTGAACATCTTCGTATACTTCGTAAGCTGTCTGTGAATGAATTATTCCACACGACGATACATTCGATTTCATTCAGGTAATACATTTTACAACCAAACACATTATTACGCCATATAGCACTACTACAAAGTATGGCATTACCCTTTTTTTGGACATATACATTACTTTATACATTAAATAAGCTATCATCGTCCAGTTTATGAATGTGTGTACACACACAATGTATTCTCGGTGTTGTAGTGTCGGTATTGCGCAGTGGCGTGCGAACTCGACTTGAAAACGAATGCCTTTGCCTGCCTTATTAGACTCAGTTAACCAGTTTAAAGATGCTTTCATAAATATAGCCTACATTTAAATACATTTTGGAGAACAGACAGAAGAAGATCCGTGCATTTGATCGTTGTTTATGTTGGGCATGACATGACTGCGAGCACATGTGCAGAGTTTTAACACTTTCTAATCTGTCAATGGTTCCCATCCCTTGAATGCAAAACTCCATAGAGTCACTTTATTCCGACATTGTCTAATAATCCAAATGTAGTTGTATAAGTTACTATACTATTATACAAACCAAAGGACAGCCAATGGTTTTCAGGCTATAGATATACAGAAATAATGTTTGTCTCTTCTGTTTTTGTTGCAAAGATAGCTTATCTAATTATGATAATAATAGTCATTTAAATGAAAAAAAAAATCTAAATAATATCATGTTACATATACAGTATATATATATATATATATATATATATATATATATATATATATATATATATATATATGCCTATGTGTAAAGTAACTAGTAACTAACTACTTGAGTAGTTTTTTCATTGGATACTTTTTTACTCTTACTCAAGTAACTTTTAAGATTATTACTTTTACTTTTACTTTGAGTAAATATTTCTATAAGTACTTGTACTTTTACTTGAGTACAGTTTTTGGATACTCTACCCACCTCTGGTTATCATAGCGTAAGCCTGTGCTAATCTTAGCGGTGGAGCTAACAACTCCGGTGGTTTTTAAAGGCTTAAAGCTCTTTAGCAACAGTAATTTGTGGGGCTTTTGTATTATAGTCCTTATTCTACGTGTTGTTTTGACAGGGCATTATGGATAGATGTTGGGTATTTCCCTCATAAAGTTCAGCACTTTCTTTTAGCAAACCGTAATAGTCTTGACAAACACTGTTATTGTCTCATTTCAGGGGGCGCAGGAGAGAAAATGATTACAGTACCTGTTGCATCTCACCGGTAACATGCTTGCTTGCGTCACGGTGAGTGATTTTATTTAACGCGTATTAATTATGTTTGCTTCACTGGTTAGCGTGCGTCATTTAGCTTTCGTATGAAGTTTGCAGCTGTGCTCACGTGCTAGCTAAATGTCTCCCTCACTCTTGCATATCTTATTAAAAAAGAGTCAAAGCATATATTGGCAGAAGTTCATACAAGCGCATTATACTAAACAAGATGACTTAAGAAAAATTTGTGCCGTTTAGAATTATTATTACCAAAAAATTGCTTCACAATGCAGTAAGTGTATTGTGTTTGTCAAAACATTTGGTAAACAGAATTTCATTAAGTTTAGTGACAACATCATGTTACAATGTTTACAACGTTACAATGACTGGTAGCCTACTGTTTTTATTAGTCCTTGACACAAATTTCACGATTTCAATTCATAAGCTTTCGATTTGATTCTGATCTTGATTCAATATGATTCAATTGGATAAATATCAGGTACAGTGGCTACATGTTAATTTTCTCAAGGAAAAAATCTCTCACCTAATAATGCTGTAAACATTACATGTCAGCTGGTATTATTATTAATGGTTAAAATTAACAACTCAAATTAATAATGTGGTATTTTTTAATAGGCCTAACATCATTAAGGCTATTTTTTAATGATATGAGTAAAAATATAATATGCAATATAGTGCATGTATTGAGCAGAATACTTCTCTCTCTAGTTAATTTTTCTAGCTAACTAACATGCTATGCTCATTAAATGGCTTTCCTGAGGTAAATGTTGTTCTCCAGCTGTTTTATTGACCTTTCCGCGGTTGAAAAACACTGACTGATTCATCGATTACATGATAAATTTCGGTAAGTTGTAGGCTGTATCTTTCAACATTCTTTCTTCTAATGTTCATTAATGTTTATTTGGTGCTATAGTAGTAGTAGTAAAGAGTTTAAAGATCAGTTCACGTGCCGCTTGCTACAGCGATCTGTCACGTCACATTAACGTGCGCCAAAACGGTACGCCTATTTATTGTTTACATTTCGAAATAAAATTGATAGAATTTGAAAGTTGAGACTTTGTTACATTTAAAAAAAAAAAAGTAACCTGCATGTCCATCGGTGTCAGTGTCCTCTTTGCATCGGGATTTTTCACTGCGTAAAATGGACGTGTTGCGTGAGACCAGTGTCGATCGCGTGAGTCGCAGCCCTGTTATTACTGTTGTTCAAGTCAGACTTTACAGAGTTAATCAATAGCTAAACAGACAGCGTTTTAGTATAAAGCCACATTTTAAGGAAACAGACGTCTGGCTTCAAACGCACCCAACCCAATCTCCTGATGAGAAAACATAAGTTAATGAGATAACATCAATGAATATGATGGTGATTACATCAAACAGAGTCAGGTTTCTTCGTTTCATGTAGGCCTACTGTATATCTGTGAATTTGCTGAAACACATTTTTGAGGCTTACAGTGTTTTTCCACCATCTTGAATGGATTTGTGTACCATTTTTCTGTGACAACAACAGTGGTGGCTGAATCTACATTAAAATTGACTCTCATTATATTCAGACTCACAAAAAAAATCACCTAATGATGCTGAATCTTAATGAATACATTTTCTGACAAAGACGGCAAACAAGCATTGAGGCAATATCTAAGACAACGCTCTTACATATTCACAAACTTTCAAAAGTTTGGGGTCAGTAAAAGTTTTTTTTTTTTAAATAAATAAATAATTTTATTCAGCAAGGATGCAGTAAATTGATTCTATTTAGCTACTGTTCTTTTGAATGTTCTATTCATTTTCTACTCTATTCTATTTTCTAATTAAATTATTCGAAACTTTTGAATGGGAGTGTATACAATCATTGATACACATATATATACACCCCCAAATTATATTACAGTGCCAGAAAAGTTTAAAATAATGATGAATCCGTTCATAGCCTTTTCCTCAAATCATAATGAAGTGCTGTGACCATAAACATGTACTCAACCCATAATGTGCATTCATTGATGTGCTTGGCCCTGTAATCGCTGTTTGCAGCTGTATTATTAGGCATATACCTGTTTATTATGTTTTCATGCTTAACATTTTTGCATTTGCACTTTTCCCCCCAAGTTTTGGAATCCAGTTGTGCCTTAAGATATCACTGAACTAAATCCAGCAATTCTGGCATTGAGATGGAGGCTTTGCGGCAGCTCTCTTTAATAATGACTTCAGAATGGCGTTAGAATACAGACACATCAGTCCAAGCAGGACAGTTTCAAGAGACAACATGAAAAAGTCAGATTCAACAGTGCACCTACAAAAATCCCAGCATATAGGGAACTGACAAGCTGTGTGACGCCATTGAAGATAGAGGAGTTTGACAGATGTGTAAGTCAGCTTTTGAGGCATCATGCTTGTCAGTTTGTATGTTTTAGGATCAGGGTGTGTAAGGGGAAGTACATTCACTTTATTCCTACAAATCCCCTCTTGAAGAATCATGTTTCAGTGGATGTTTCTTCAAAAGAAACAAGACCATGATTGCACTGATAATTTTTGATCCTTTTTAGTTTCCATAGAGACAGTGTCAGTGTGGGCAACAGCAAAATAGCTTTGAGTTGGAAGTGGTTAGTGAAATGCATGTTCTCAGCCATAGGGACATTATTTTTCCCACTCATTGCCACGGCTGAACTGTTGGCTAACGTTCCCTGTCCTGTTTCCAAGAAAGGTTTTTTTTAGAGCGTTATTGATGCAAAACATTAAAAAAAAATTATATTCACTGGCAAAAAATTGAGTGATGTTTTCCCATGCCAAATTCATCACCACAATGCTATAGGATGTTCTGAGTGTTTGCAAGGGTTTCTATGTGGTTTCTAGGGTGTTCAAAATGGTTTTGACCATTGCTGTGTGGTTGCTAGGTGATTGCTTACTGTCAAAAGAACGGGAACAAACTGAGAAAAAGCAAGTATTGGTAGTAAAATAAAAACAAATTTCGTAAATAAAAGTATATATATATATAAAATTAATTAATCGTGATTAATCACATCTAACAAAAATGTGCGTGTATACAAACTTTTATGTTATATGCGACTAATTGACAGCACTAAAAATGTATAAAAACAAGAAAAGTAAAAAGTAAAAAAGCATGAATAAAATAATAAAAGTAAAAAACAGGTTGTTTCTTACTGGCCAAAAGCAGAACCAGTATTTTATTTTATTTTATTTTATATATATATTTTTTTTTTTTTTTTTATTATAATTAAAGTAAATATTGTGAATAAAATTAAACTTAATAATAATAATAATTGCAGTAATATAAATAACTTTAATCAAGTAAA